GGCCATGAGAAGTGGTAAGTGTGCGGCTATGGTCACACTCGACATTCAAGGTGCATTTGATGCAGTTCTTCACAACCGACTGCTCAAACGCCTTCGAGAACAAGGCTGGCCACGATCCCTGTGCCAGTTTTTCTAGGACTTTCTTTTCCAACGAAATTATCAGATAAAACATCGTGGTGGAACCACAGACGAGAAGATACTGAAATTTGGAGTAACTCAGGGCTCGTCACTATCGCCACTTCTCTTCTTACTCTATATTGCTGTGTTATTTCAGGACCATAGTCTCATGAGCAGATCCAGGTTCGCTGATGACGTAGCGATCGTCGGAATTGGAAACACCGCGGAAGAAGCAATTGGCGCAGTCCTAGACGACCTCGATAGTCTCATGCTTCTCGTCAGAGGAAAAAGGGTTGAATTTGATCAGGCAAATTCAGAACTTCTAGTGACCGGAAGAGGACCTAAAAATAAAATCAATACGTCTGATCCCTCCATGTTGGTGAAAGATCGCGGAATCGAACCCTCATCTCATATCCGATGGCGAGTAGTCTAGCTTGATACCTAGCTGAACTTCAAGCAGCATGTACAGGAATTGTTAGTATATCAAGTTGACTTATAATACAACTTTGATCACATGGTATGTAGTCATACAAGGGTTGACTCTAACTTGTACTTCGTAGTACACTATGAGATAGAGAAAGTAGAAAATCATAAGTTTTACACAAAACATCCCAGCTTTACCAACTGCAGTAGAGACGTGATATAGTCCTGTAATCTTGTTGGAAATGGAGACACGGAGTGTTGTGGACGTATGGGGCCTCCATTTCGTCTAGGTTCCCGACACGATCTTGTGTGTATGTAAGAGGTTGGAGCAGGTAATATTGTAGCGCTTCAGGCTACCTATTGGACATATGAGCGGCTGTATGGCGTGGGCGCAAGGAGGTTATTGGGCGGTTTTCTATGCCTAGATGGCGCCACACTCGTTTATGCTGTGGCTTAGGCTACGCGTCGCTTACAGTTGTACTCGTAGCGCACATCTCCCACACTTTTAGCTGTAATCCGAACATGACACTCTTTTAGTCAACTTCCACTTTCGTTCCATGAATATTGCGCCCACTACCTTGCGTGATATTTCCAACACTTTGCAGACTACTACCGCTGTTTCCAACACCTCGAAGCTCTCTTGACCTGCAGCTGCGGACGAGAAAAGTCACCTGACCACTTCTTCTTTTGTCGACTAGGGTGCAGCCAAGCACGACTGCAAGGTGGACCTCGACATCCCAACCCTGGAATCCCCTGGGTTCTAAGCTCTCCAGAAGGGGCTATCGCCTTCAGCAAGTGGGTCCACAAGACAAAGTTTTTTGAAGAGACCAATTTTCACTCTCAGCTTTTACACTCGCTCCATACTAACTATTTAGCGGGACTGAAATACGTACTAGTAGCTCTGTCTGTACCGGTGTTAGATTGTTTCTCCTCTCTAGCATGAAGATTTACATTTTAGTTCTGTCTGCAGTGTAGTTAACAGAAGACCCAGAGGAAGGGTGCTTTTGGTGTACTCATAGTTTGGGGCACCTGGCAGGATGGCCAGGGCCCAGGTAGTTTATGCCGGGATCTTAGGAGCGTCGGCACGTCGGGTAGTTTTTCTAGACTGAGCTAACCGGCATGTCACCTTTGGAAACGTGTTACGCGCGGGCACGACGTAGAATAATAAACAAAACAAACAGCCTGCGAGACGCTAATGTATACCGACTCGACTGGATCAATTGACCCGGCTAAAAATCATATGATTCCCCAACCCTCCATACATATTGACATCAGATATCATTTCCTCTGCAATCATATCGATAATACATTCTAGCTGGATTACTTCCACGGATCAGTAAGTCTAATGCTAGAAGCTAAAACATGAAAGAAATATGGGCTGGATTGTCGCAGATAAAGTCATCTCAGCTTATTCAGTAAATGAGTAATGCAAAGAGTCTTTAAAAGACCATTATTCATATCATTCTAGTATCATCAATTACACGATAATATTCCAATATGGTCAGTTATCATACATGTTTAATCCAGGCCAGTAAATGCCTTTCTGTATATAATGGGTCAGCGTCTGAGGGGTTTTCACTTCACGCAACGTCTTCTTTATTTTTTACCCATCTCTTCTTCGGGAAGACTATTCAACTATTTTCGAGCTCTGCATCAGCAGGACTTACGTGTAGCCTCTACCGCAACTATTTGGCTATTCGTCTCTTCCTGGAGAAGAGCCGTCATTCCTCGGACGCCTATATTAGCTTAATGTAGCCCCTAGACCATTACCAGGCCACACAACGCACCCCGTGGAACACCGTCCAGCCCTCATCCCTGAGATATATGTTCCAGCTGAGAACAGCTTGGCCGATATCCGGACAAAGAAACTAGCTAAATCGACACACCAGCGTCTCGCGGCTATCGTGAGGTGCGGTCCCAAGGGAAAGGATTGTAATGAAAAGAATATAGCTCTTATCTTTGAAAATAGAAGGGCCATGGCCGGACTGCTAAGGTCTGGGGGGGACAGAAGTATGTTGAAGAGTGTCTGAAGGGTGTGAAGAGCAACACAGGGCAGAACGACTCGACGAGCTTGGATGGAATGAAAGAGACCATGAGGATAGAATGAAGGGGACTTGAGAGAAGGAACTTCTTGGGTAATACGTGAATAGACGCGGCCGTAGTACAGAAGTCCGGGAGGAAGGAGCGCTGCTCCAGCGAGAGCCAAAGTCCAAACGCCCGAACCAGTCTGCGAGGTGCTATGGGTCAAACGGGTGGAAAAAAGGGATGGGTAGAACACTTTGGTGGGGGAGAGCTGTAATTTTTCACTTTGCTCACTCATGGGCGGCTCCATGTGGCATAGCTAGTCGAGGCTAGATGCACGACAAACGACCAAAAAATGCACTTTGCCTCTGGTATTGTGTCATGGCCAGGTAGCCGCATACGCAATGAAAGTGTGATGGCTAAGGGAAGCGCTTTGCACATACAAACTTAGGCCTTTGGCCTCCGAGGCAGCAGGCTCAGCTATGTGATGTCCTACTCAGCATTTTCACTAGACGTAACACAATAAACCAACCCGCCCCTTTAAGCAGCCGGGCCTCTGCAGTGCCACGGCCTCAGATGAAGTCCTCGAGAAGGGTAGAGGTTAATAATGACATGGGACGGGGTCGGTGGACATGGTCGCGAAAGTAACGTGGACGAGATTTCCCATGAGCTGACCTACCCGCAGCCATCTTCTCCGCACGCAATAATCCACCATTGCGGCTCACCATCTACACTCACCCGCACCAACCCGTTCGGAATTGTCTTAGCCACGACGCACACTACCATGTATGGTTCTGAAGCGGGCGGAGGCATTTGTAGCATGCGAAGAGCAAGGCTCAGGCGCAAACTTTGAACCAAAACTACCGACGCATGGGCCAGCTTCCCATGATTCAACTAGTTATGCACGCCTTCGTACAGGACTATCGACGATCTTGTGAGGCTCATTTTAGATCCAAGATGATTCGGTCGAAAGAGTAAGATGCTTAGTGAAATAAAATCGTAACCACATAGTGTGTCTCTTGGCCCAGACGTCCAGATTGGAAAGCAACAAATTCTGAGATTTGATTTGGGTTTTAACAACGCAAAACCGGACCAATAAGACTGGCATGAATGCCCCGTGGAAGAAGTTGGTGCAAAAATCTAGACACTCTAGTAGAGTGTGGGAATCCAAAGCGGCACGAGGACCCTTCCACCCGTTGAGGATAATTAAACAAATGATAATAGATTAGGGTTACCAGGCCTGGAAATATGGGGTCCCATTCGGGATAGTACTACAAATCGAAATGATTGGCTGGGTCATTAAATTCATGTGTAACTCCAAAGACAGTGGTCATATTGCTGGGAGAATTTCTAAAATTAATTGAACATGTTAAGGTCTATTCAAAATGACCTTGGCCCAATGTTTCTAGCAGAAACCTACTAATAAAAGAAATCTAATATCTCATGAGAGTGAAGACTCCAGGTTTACTTCAGCCCTGAAAATTAGATTTCTAGCTTTTACGTACCTCAGGGCGAGTTTTCTCTGACAATAGATAACTGCTGAGAAACGAGCGAGAAATTGACTCGTATTGATCTCCGGACATCCGAAAGGCTTAGCCCTTCCTTGTTTCAGCTTTTCATTTAACCCAAAATTCTATGGTCTGATTGCCCCTTGGCTCACGAATGACTGGTATCATCCATAGCTACACCCTGAAGGGGGGTAAGCGTCATAATGTCTTCCATATATCTCCATCCTTGAAAATTTGTCACTGGAGTTTTTAGTCGTCGTCTTCCGAGTGATAATCTATGACTATCAACCCCCCAAAATTAGCCCATTTCGCATTCTTTCATCTAACTTTGAGCAAAGGTTCCTACTTGTAGCTTTCTCTCCCTCACCCTCACTGTCACTCATGGCGATGGTTTCGAGTCCAAAAGCTATCCTTTAGTTACTAGCTTCAAACTAGAAACCGAGGAATATCCCTGAGTGAGTAACAAAGTTGTTCATTATGGTTTCTTTGGGCGCGACGAGTGAACTTGGAGCGGCCTATCGATATTAAATGTAGACATTAGGACAATAGATTTCTCTATCGGCCCCTGCACACCGTCTCTGGTCCTTGCGTGGAGCTTTGGTTCTGGCTGAACAAGATATCCAACGGTCATTCTGGGTGAAAAATAATATAGACCAGCACTGAATTATGATTGGAAAAAAGAAGCTTGCTATGTTCTCCGAAGAATCTTATGAAAATATTGAAGTTTGGGTGAAGCTGGTTGCCTTGAATCAATGCATAACTCTTCCATCAACCAATATCGTTAGATATTCCCGCAAAATTACGTCAGGTAGATACTCCAAACACCACATTCTTTCCCCAATATAGAACCTTTGGTATCATATCCATGTCAACGCCCACGCCTAAACGCAGCAATTTTTTAAAAAACATTAATCGTCGTAATTCGCTCCTTCAGGGTAGTATACGACTGAGACTGCGTAATACTTCTTGCATCGGCAAATCTCGCGTACCGATTTGCTCTTTTACTCTTTTATCGCGCTCTTCCAATCTCAGCTGACCTAGATTTAGAAATTTATCGGCTATTTTTCCAACCGTCTCTTGATATTTTTCTAGCTTATGGACGCCATCTGCTAGTTGGTCAACGTGGAATTCTAGACCCGATTGAAGTGTTTGGAGGCGTTCAGAGGCCTGTTTACGAAGAGCCTGTGACGAACATGAGGAAACTTCAGCAAGGATAGCAGCTTGTTCGGGGTCAAGCAGCGAGGAGTCGATATCTGATGGATTCAAAATACCTCTGACGTCCTGATGTATTGGGGCAATGGACGCTGGCAGTTTTAATTGGGCCTTCCATTGATCTCTCTCTTCTTGTAACCTGATTTCTCTAGTCAGCATTAATCGCGACTAAATTTTTAGAGTGCACCAACAGCTTGAGTCGTGATTCTACAATGGCAAGGCTGTTTTCTAATTCTACATTGCGCGGGTTCGGTTTTTTGACGATTTTAGGTGGCGTTGTTTCGTCTCTACTGAACCAATCAGAATATTCGGATCGGCTGGAAAATTCCTTCAGCAACGCTTCTTTGATGTGCCGGGCTATTTCAAGAGCTTAGTTAAGATGTTTGGGGTTTTAGCCAGGTCCTTACCCGCCAATTCCGCCGCACTATCTGGATCACCGTGCAATGGTTTGGGACCCATACACCGCTCACTTGACCATACTAAAAGCTGCTTCATTCGCCTAGGCTCGCTCAATCCCTCAGCTTCAATGTATTTGTAAAAATCCCTAGTCTCAACTTCGCGATGTGGGATTGCACTGTGCCCATTATTAATCAGAGAGCTAGCTCGTCGTCCTCGCATTCCAAGACTGCTTCTGCGAGCACTTCCTCCTGCCTTTTTCCGAAATTCTTTGTTGCGATCAATTACAGGGGTATCGCTCCACGGTAGCGATACAACGGTAGAGCTCTTATTATATTCGACAGGCAGTTGCTGCGACTCGACAGACTTTAGAGTCAATTGCTGCTGAACTTGATCATTTGTCGTCACAGAACCAATTGTCGTCCCAGCCGTTTTTGTATTCTGGCCTCTGCCAACTGATTTACGAGGGGTCTTCCTGGATCGGGGAATGGTGAGCGGATCATTATCATGCTGAGGAGTGGTGTTGCTACGCTTGCTCCCTTTATTTCGTGTATTATTTATCGTCGGTTCGTGCTCACGATCGTGGGTCTGTTTAGACGCTTTTGCCCGCCTCACTACGGGCGCGGGCGTTGAGACTGATGCCGCTGTTAATTCCGAGGATCGTGATTTGGTCCGTTTCGATGCACGGGTGAAGACAAAGTCTCCATCTTCTTCGTCGTATGCTGGAGCGGGATTAACAAAAGACCGACACCAATTCAGGCTAACCTTACCTGCAATACGCTTGCTCCTTCGCGCCGCTATCGGCTGGCTCATTCTTCCAGGTTCGAGAGAGTTGGCAGTCTGTAGAATGGTAGTCATTGAACCAAAATTGAAGCGCGCGCATTGGCTGGTGTGAAGTTATTGCCGTTGAGGAGGGGTGTTCCTTCGCGGTGCTTTTCGTCGTCGCGCATAAAGCGCGTAGATACCTCGGGTCAGACAATGTGTAAGGTGCTATAATCTTGAAAATCTCTGGCGGAGTATAGTGGGTTGCATGCATCCCTTCGTCGCCGACGTATTGCCTGTAGGGGTTGATAAACACAACATTTGTTCACAAGGAATACAGCGCTAGATATGTCATGTGACAATGAGTTCATCCTCGCGGCCCAGCCCATATGGTCGATTTATGATTGGGAATAACACGTACGATCGACTTCAGCGAGAAATATCTAGTCCAAATCATTACTTCTTGGGTGTACAATCCTCTTTGGACTCACTATCATTTGATGGATATTTCCTTCCGCACGCCTGGATAATGAGCTTGGTGCGCGAATCATAACCTGGAGACATTAACACTTTCGGAGCTAAAAAGGTTGAGCAGCGACCGAGGTCCTCGCAAATAAAAGCCCAGGGACATGAGAAGAGTCTCAAAGTTCAGTAAGAGTTCAGAGAAAATATTTTTGAGCTGGGAGTATCCCAATTGGTGCTTCCCAGAACCTCCAGGCACTGCCACTCGACTAGATAGTGTCGTTTGAAGGCCAACAGGCTTATTTTAAGTAAGCCAAAGATTTCAACCCGAAAAATAATTGGCAGAGCAATTTTTTTCTGATTAGTTAAGTTTTGGTGTTTATTTTGCTGCTTGACTTCATGGCTATGCAGCGTATTATGCTCTTCTCTAACCCAGGAGAACTATTCTCCTCAACTGAAGTATCAAAAGAAATACTCTCACTTTGGTAATATGCGGCTGTCTGATACATGCGGACTGGAGTAAATGTGTCATTCTTGCGTATGTTGGCGATGTGGAGTCTGTGATGTAGATTACATGGGATACGTATTTTGATTTTATTTGTCAAGAGGGCTAGAGATATAGAGTGTGTTCATGGACTTATGCATATGCTGGTGTAAATTCTTGTGTCAACAATTCCAGTAGTCTCCTTGAACCATATTTCAGAACTTCACCAAGCCACTAATACTCTGCTTCGTCAGATCTTTTATCTACATGAACACAAAACCGGGATATGCGTTGTAGACTACAAGCTGGGCGCCCAAAATCAGGATATCATATCAATGAGACAAGTTCTAACTGACGTGACGCTTCTTGGGTAGGACTATCTCTACTACCGGCGGACTAAGCGTACAATCCGCACTGTTGTCCACAAATTCCGAGAAATCCGGCCATCTACATAATCTGCTAGTAGATTAAGGGCTTAGTACCCTTGAACACCCTTGAATATAGTTGCTAGCTACTATCATCAGTCCTCTTACGGTGTCGATGTTACCGACCTTGTCAACCAGGATATGACCCGCATCTAGGGCTGACCAGGAAAACTCCCTGTAGGATAGTCAGGCAGCAAACCTAACAAGCCGCCTGGCGCGCGCTTAAATACAATATTCCCGAAGGAAACCTTCTATTACTAGCGGAAGTTTAGGATTAGATAAGATTCTATTTATGATGTACCCCAGCGAGTCTAAAAATATGCGGGTCTCTGAAAATATATTGGACGCACTCTAGTTACCTTTGATAAATTCATAGTTGTATTCCTTCGACCTTTATTCTTGTCAGTATTGACTTTCAAGCCCAAAGTAAACTTTGGACATGCAGATATTCAGGGTAAATTCCTTCATAGTACTGATAATTTTTTCGAGTATACTCACTCATCGAACAGGATGGAAAACAACTTAGTGACGTCGTGATTTTGCAGCTATCATAAAATCTAGTTCTCGCTCAATTTTTTGCGGTGCGAGAGACGGAGGTCCTCTATACCTACGTGCCAAAGACACCGATACCTCGGGTCTTGTATCTTTTTCTATGCCTCGTTCTCAGCTTTTTTCAAGTACTACCAGACATATTTTCTCATTCAATCGTACACCTAAAAGAGTCTCTGCAATTAACGAAACTGTGGCCGCTAGAGATTGAATTGCAATCGGGAAAATCCATAAGAACCACTGAGCTTGGGACTCCCCTAATGCTCGATTTTTTCAAAAGGTTAATGTGCTTTCAGCTATCTAGCTATGACCAGCGTCAAAGGTACATGTCTGATGATGTTTCTGGCTTCAGAGATGGTTAGATTTTTGGTTGAATTAAATGGGCGTAATATTCCCGGAAATAATGAACTGAAATTAACACAGGCTTCCTTTGAATCCACGACTATGAGTAATTGCTAAAGACTATAGTAGTAATAAAATTTGACTACTTTGTCTTCCTATGGATCCCGAGATTCTTCTACTGCATGAGAGGGATGAAGAAATAGACCTAAAGAGTGCTATGTTTAGATTACTGCTAAAGGACAGGGAGATGTGCGTTGTAAGTGCAAGCATGTGCGATACAGTCTGCTCGATCACAGCGCCATTATTTTTGTTAATTTGACATTTATTTGGCCATGTAGCTATGACCTATTACTTTGCGTGCCTATTGGGTGACTCATGTGGCTTCAGACACACTCAAAATCTAGGCTTTACTGGCAAATACCCCTGCGTAGTCTATATGTCTACACAGAACAGTCGATCCGCTTCGACAAACTCCAAAGGGAATTCTCCAAAACCCTGATTACCTGAGTATGCCTTTCTCATCGTTCATATGGCCTCTGTGAGAAAGGTGGTCGAGTGCAGCTGGATTCGGACCAGTTATCTTCAGTCATAAGTTTCATAGGTGCCCAAGTCATCCAAACTTGACGGTATTTATTGTGTCGCCAGTGTTATGAATGTGCTTTTCACATTATTAGTAAATCGTCATGTACGTAGTGAAGCATGCAGAGCCAGGGAAATGGGAACAGGTTAGTGATAAATTATATACCACCGGTCGCTTCACTCACCCGTAGATCACTCCTGAAAGAGACTAGCTACGGCGCTATCTGGAAGTATGTGGGATTAGTTAATTATCATGTGTAAAACTTAGAGAGGTCTTCGTGTGAGTGTCATGTGAATCGTCAAAAGATGAAAGCGAATACAAGAATGAATTGATTAATTGTCTCCGTGCTACGAGTCCATCGTAGCACTATAATATCTAGTTCTACCCTATTGATGCCCCTGATCATCATTACTAGTCTGACATGCCTGCACGCAGATCGTGCTTTCGCTTTTGGACTGGATCCAGACTTATGCAAGCACAAGTCTGCTTACATCATGTACATAATCTGTAACATGACATAATGACACAATAGGATACCATTCGCATCCCATAACATTTATTGCCATAATCACCCAAGTATATTACAAGCCCCCTGAGTTGTCACAACCATTCAATTGAAGATACCAAGTGTATACGACCATATACACCACCACCCTTCAATAGCCTGCACTAAAGAAATTCGAGTCCTGGCGCGAACAATGCTCAACTTGGAAAACTCCATGCCCAATTTCAAAATTTCATCTTCACAAGTTTGTATCTGTCCAGAAACTTTCTTCAACCTTTCACCTGTACCAACTAGTCAGCAATCCCATTTGGGGCTCTTAGCGCACTCGGTAATGGAAACGGCTCTGCTTTCCTACTAATCGAGCCTTGCCCTCTTTCCTATTACTTTTTTTTTTATATCATTTAAGTGTATCCAGCTATAGAGCTGTGACACATGACCGGTGCTAGGTATACATGTTGGAAGACTCTTTGACGTTAGAGACACTCATTGTCTGGATTTCATTTGCAAATACCACTATGAGGTATGCTTGCATACACAAACTGTCGACCCTCCTCCGTAAGTATCCACCAAAGGGACGTTTCAAAACCTTTGGTTATCCAAGCATGCCTTCCTCATCCATTCATACCAGCGCCGCGAGAAATGTGGTTGTGTTTTGCCGGATTTGAAGCAGCGATCTTCTGTCTCGAGTGGAATATGTGTCCAAGCTATCCAGACCTTACTTGGCAGACCGGCCAAGACGATGTACCACCGCACCATCCAGCAATGGCGATGTTTATAGTGTCGCCTGCACTCTCGCAGCCGAAGTCTTGGCACGCACAAAGCTCAATTTGTAAAAACTCCTTGCCATAATTCAAAATTCCACGCCCGTCGAGGTTTTATCCATCCTTCGCATCAGCTTGTAAACTCGTCCTGATCCCTCTCACGTCCATGCCAAAGACCTATCTCCTAAATTTGTGCGCCACGCTTTGTGTCCTTCGTCGGGTATAAATATCGGCGTGGGCGTGTGTTTGGTGACCAGCTGAGGCTAGAGAAAGTCGAAGAGAGGTGTGGTCATTGGAATGAGGATATACTAGGTCGCACTTGTAGACTTGATGAGGCTTAGGTATGAAGTCCGTCTTGTTGGGAGTGAAATATTGATGTAGTGGAGTATTTTGAATCATTGCCTCGTGGGCCAACTTGTTCTGTATTGCGAAATTTGACTAAACTTGGCTCTGGAAGAATACTTCACTCCTAGGCTCGTAGAGGACACTGCGTACAGGTATTCAGTCTTGCCCTCCGCCCTGTTTCCTGGATAGGTATGAATAAGGTCGATTCCACCAACCTATCCAGTATACGTATCCCGCGTACAAGTCAAATCATCCTGGGAAACTAACAGTATCCGCCCCTTGGATCATCATGTTCATCTATCCTGCCATCTCACACGTCTATCACGAACATTCGCCTCCCAGATTTGTGCGCCACCATTTGTTTCCTCCGACAGGTTTCCGTATCCTTGTGGAGGACTTTTCTCAGCACCTGTCGGTAATGTCCCCTACGAACCTCCAGCTCTTACGGTACAGTCTACAGAGCCGAGATTGAGTAACAAGTTCCTCACTTCAACGAGGATTCCCAATCGCTTTCGCGTTCTGTGTCGTCTTCACCTCTCAACATATTCCCCTATCACCATTATCATGAGGCTAATCACGATCAGATCAGATGGTAGGGTCGGAGCCCTACTCATCACCAACACTTAATCATAGGGGAGAAGCCATCCGATGAGTTTCCGGAGCGTGCCCAGCACCCGATAGGGAGATGATGGATTGGATCAAGTCGACCTCGACTGTTACAAAGAAGGGAGACATAGATGAATATGCGCACCTCATGTGGTCCTGGTGTCTAGGCCTCGCCTGGCTGGGGCTGAAGGTTTTTCGGAGACTTTTTCCCGCGCACGCAGTTTCCATTGCTACCATTTTTTTGGTTTTTTTTGGGTATAAGGTTCCATGGAAAAGGTGGCCGAATTCCACAGGTTAACAATAAGCTGAATGGCTATTCATCAAGGGCAATATATCAATTATCTTTCAAGAAACATGAGAGGCAAGGAGCACTGTACAAGGCGCGGCCTGGGTCAGAGAGGAGCCCAATGTGCTAGATAGTCTGAGACTCAAGTAGTACAATAAACACACCTCTCTATCACAAACCCGCCTCAAGCGCATCACATAGTTGCTGCTGTATTGTCATTATTTTATACGATTAGAGTAAAATTTGGTTATCCAGTTCCATAGTATAGATTTCGACCTTATTTTATGACAGAAAGGACCTTGTAGATATAGCCGGAAGTATCATCATAAGAATCAAGCGTAGTAAATACTTACTCATGTCCTATGTATGACCGACATGACTAATTCCCGCACCATCATAAAAACTATCAATCTCTACCATTAATCGTAATACCGGGTATAAAAATGAGTTGCTTCCATACGATAAGTGTGTATGGATTGATAGGGGAGGGATTTTAACAATTCACATCTCATAGCGCAAGTGCACATTATCCTAGTATTATATTTACATCTAATTTGAGTCTACGACTATTAAAGAATTATCCTAGTATGTTAGGGTTGTAATTCCCGTCAGCCATGAAGTTGTAGAGCGCGTTCATTCAAGTAAGTGAGTGAGTAAGTAGGTGAGTTCCCGTTCAAGGCCAATTAGGCCCACGGGCAATTCTTCAAAGTATGCTTTGTCATACCGTTGTCTGTTTGTTTGCTTTACTATTCAAGGTAGGTTGGAGCGCCGAGCCGAAGCTCAGACCCGCAGCGGCTACTAAACTATCTAGAGGGATGGACGCCAATGCTCACTGCCCCGTTGGCTTAGTTCCTGCAACTCCCAGACTCGGGGTGCCAGACTCTACATGTCTGGGATCAAGTTGGTGTGTAGCCAGGCTCACACTACATAGATTTACCATCCATCCCATTTTCCGGCCTAGATTTCCTGGACCCTAGTTATTTCTACATCTTGCTTTGCAAAGATTTTTCGCGCGCGCCTCCAGATCTAAGCAGGCTGTTATCGTTATTGGTCTCCGTGGGTGGGATGGCTGGAGAGGGCAAACCACTTTGTCACGCAGAGGGCTCCTTCCCAGTTGTTTTGTTTATTTTGTCCTAAGCTAAAGCTATGTTTTCCACATTGGGTCAAGGACCAGCGGAGCCGGCAGGGTTCCCTGTAATCTTTCCTACAGCCTAACTCGTTCCAACCTCGTGAATCGCTACCAAAAGTGCAGCTGAATAGACAGAAACGAAAAATCAAGAAAATCAAAACTCCGAAAAACCAGAAGATTCCTCCATAATGGACCCAGTCAATGTGCTCCTCACACATTCCGTCGTCCGTCACACCTTCCAAATGACAAATTTACTTAATCTCCGCTGAGAGCAGTAGATGAGTTAGCAGGCACCTTTGATCCAGCCGGTATCCTGCTAATTGTTAGTAGATGCCCCAGAAGGGGACATCGTCGAGGTTGCTGTGTCCTCAAACTTCTTCTTCAGGTCCCAGGACTCCGAAACCTGTTGCCTCGGCCATTGCAGTATCCTTCGCCGCGGCGACAATCGCCTCTTCGGCCTTTTTGGCTGTAGCCCTAGCTCGAGCCGCCTCAGCGAACTTCCCTTGCTCGAGGTAGCGTATCCATGCGAGCTGCTCTTTTGTCACCGGCCCAGACTTTCTGGGTCTGACTTGGCAGTCCCGAGAATCCGATCGGTGGGGTCCCCCACAGTTACGACACTTTGTGAGGCTCCTTCCCAGTTGCTTAACAAGAATTTCGTTGCATTGTTGAAAGATGGGAGGTCGTAGAGCTTGGGCTCTGCATTCCAGAAAGTGCGTAGGGCCTCGGATTGGCCACAACTGCAGAGTGAGTATTTATGCGATTAAACCGACAGTGGTATGCGGCCAAGTCCTCTTGTTCAGAGCGGGCAGCGTATAGTTATCGCACCGCTCTTTGAAGCGGCTATCTATCATGATTGGTATATGATTTGGGAATTTAATCTTGCGCTGTAACAGCTAGGATAGTTTGTGGAGAGATATCTTTATTAATGTGCAGAAGTGAATTGAATTGAATTGAATACATTACGTATCAGGCTTATGCCCTACACCCAATAGGCGTGATACGGGTCTGTGCTCCCTGGGGCCACACTACAACCTAGGTACATAGTTTGCTTCTCAGAAACTATTTGTAGAAGACATAGATAATTAATTAAATTTCGAAAAAAAAAAAACGCCCTGCGCCTTTTCTCCTTCCTCGTGGCCCTTAGTCCTGTGGAAAATTTCCTCCGGCAGGACTTAATCCTCCCGGTTTGCGCTCTGCATCTCGTAACACTTAGTTACTGTTAAGAACTGGAGAAATTTACCCCCTCCCTTTTCTGCCAGCATCTCCCGTCCACTCGGTGGTGGTTCATGCTTCTCTTCTCTCCAGTGCCGTAGAGCAATCCGACATTCGGCAAAATGCCAGGGACGTTTCTCTCTTCCGCAAACGCATTTGCAGTTTTCCCATTCGTGGCCAAACCTTTCATGGTAGTTCCTAAAATCACCATGTCCCGTCCTCGCTGCGACCAAGTGGTGATGCGCCCACCTCGGAAGTGCTAGCTCTGGTGGACGTTTTCGTTTCATTCGGAGATCCAACTCCTCATAGCGGCTAGGTCTATGTTTTAGCCACCAGGATTCCACCGCTTCTTCACACCTTTGCCTGACAAACCGGTTGAGGGCTGCGAAGGTGTATTTAAGTCCGTCCTTAATTGTTGAGGGATCTGTAGTCGTTTCAGCCGGGAGTTTCCTGAGGGCTTCCTTCGCCAGTCTGTCTGCCTCCTCGTTTCCAGTGATCCCTGAGTGGGCTGGTATCCACCTGATTTCAACTGATCTGGCTCGTCGTACCAGTCTTGTGAATATGTCTACCACCGCCTGAGAAGATTTCGTTCGACCGGTTTGAAGAGCTCTTGCGGCTATGGAGTTATCGAGGAGCACTTTTATCGGAGAGCTGCCCGCTTTTCCTATCGCTCCTTCGAGGGCTTTTTGGGCGCCAAAGATTTCGGCATCGTACACCTCCGCCCCTGGCAGAGGACCGGCATCACTCCCAATCATCTGGCCTCCTTTGTATAAGATGTATCCCCACGCCGATCTAGCAGGTCCACATGATGAGCCGTCTGAGTAAGCGCAAACTGTCTCATCCGACAGGCTTGCTATCCATTGCTTAGCGTGAGCTGCTTCTTGCTGCTTGTCACCGCCAGTGAGCTGTCTGATGGGCTCAGCTTTTGGGAAATACAGTTTGCCGGGGCCCTCGGCCATCGGCATATTTTTGGCGCTGATCTGAAGTCGCGTGAGGTACCTTTCTGGGCACTTGAATGGCCGGTTCCTCTGACCTATGCGGAGACCTAGGCGGCTTACTGTATCTTTTGGCTCCTCTGTAGACCTGAATGCTAAAGGATGCCACGCGTCCAGCCTTTGAATCCGTGCGGCAGCTAGAATTTTTCTCTGCTGTAAGATAATAGCAGATGGGGGAATACCCGACTCTCTGTGTAGCGCCGTTTTTGGTGTAGTTCGCCACACCGGTAGCGCAGCTCGAACTGCCTTCAAGATAGTGCTGTCGAGGAGATCAGTGTGCCAGCCTACTCCTGTGCCAACCGTTTTGTCCCGCTGGGTTGTGATTCGGGTGAGACCTGGCCACCACGCTTCGGCTCCATATAGTGCCGTACTTAGGACACAGGACTGCACTGCTTTAATCATCGGTCCCGGAGCTGCGCCATGCTGGACCGAATTTATCCGTCGTATAGACTGTGTTATACGTTGCGCCTTCCCGCACCATTCCTGAACGTGTTGCTTGAAGTTGAGTTGAGAATCTAGCCATACTCCCAGCCATCTCACGTACGGGGACGGGGCTATGCAGTGGCCTTGGATCTGGACAGCTAGACCTGCGGTGTTCAGCTTTTTCCTTGGCCCACCTCCAATTAACAGTAGTTCAGACTTTGCCGGGTCAAAGTCTATCTGGTTTTCGCTCGCTAATTGCACGAGTTTGTCGACTTCTTTCTGGGCTTCGGCCACTGCTTCAGACGCGGTGCTCCCTATGCTGAGTATAGCGATGTCGTCAGCGTACCCGAATTTTGTGCTCTTGTTTCCGTCTCGCATCAAGATTTCGATGTATAATAAAAACAGAAGGGGTGATAGCGGCGACCCTTGTGGGACTCCGCACTCTGCAACTTTGTCCCGCGTGGTTCCATCACGGTGTCGCACCCTTATCCTTCGTTGGGTTAGAAATGATTCTATCCACAGGCAAAGTATCCTTGGCCATCCCTGATTCCGCAAACGATAGATCAGCCGTTTGTGCAGGACCGCGTCGAACGCTCCTTGTACGTCCAGAGTAACCATGGCCGTTACCTTCTTGTATCGCATTGCCGCCTCTACATCGTGTATGACGCAGGAGACCAAGTCAACTGCTGAGCGACCAGGCAGTGCACCAAACAGCTGTTGAGGAACGACTCGGTGCTCGATTGCTAGCCAGGCCATTCTCTTAGCTACAAGTCGTTCCAAACCTTTCCCAAGACAGGATAGAAGAGAGATTGGTCGCCACCCTTTAGCTGTTGCGAGGTCCCGTCCTGGCTTAGGGAGGAGGATGACCTCTGCAACTCGAAACATAGTGGGGAAATGTCCAAGCTGTAAACATGCTTGAAAGAGGTTCTTCACTTGTTCGCCAATTTGCTCCCAGCACGCCTTGAGCAGCCGAACCGTGATTCTGTCCGCTCCTGGAGACTTGTCGCCTGTTCCAATGGTGCTCGATTTTACATCCTCTGTCGACAATATTGGGTTCCACGGAATAGTCTCTGGTTGTCCCGTCTCCCATGTGGAGAGATCGTGGGATGCGTTGAATCTAGTCATCAAGATGTCCCTCAGGGTTTCTGCCCTCTCGAGTGGGTCTGATAACCATTTGTCCTCCGCGACCTTCAGAGGAGGAGGTTCTCGACATGGCTTGGGTTTAGCCCATTGCATTATCTTAAATACCTGGGTGTCCGTGATGGCATTCTCGATCTGTTTTCTCCAGTGTTCCCTTTTTGCCACTTTGACTGTAGCTCTAAACCTTTTCCGGGCCAGGGCTGCTTTTTCTGAGTCGTCTCTGGATTCCATGAACTCGAGGTGCTTTTTCTTGCACTCCTCATTCCACCATGGCGCTGATTTCCCGGCTATTCTCACTGGTTTCCGTCCCACTGCCTTGCGGGCATCCCCCAGAGCCTCCAGCAAGTTCTGTGCAGAAGTGAAGTTGCTGTGATGATTATTCTAACGTTTGGAGAAAGCTCGTCCGTTATCCCCCAGCTTGTTCGCTTGTAGACCAATCACATAACCAGTATGCAGCACACCAAAGTGTGCTCCCAACTGAGCAGCTATGCCGTTTGTCCAATATCAACAACCCCTCTCTCAAGCTGCGCACAGTACTACATGTAAAGCCGGTATTTAGAGACTGGATCCCTTCATGCGCCATAATGCCATACTGCCATAATAACTATATGTGCACAAGCTACTAGATCTACCATACCACATGGCTGAGCAAAACACTATCAAATTGAGACCAAGTACATACCTTGTAGTCGCGTGTTTGTCAAAGCCGTGGCATACTTGATAGCCTCAGTTATTCTAACATATTATGCACCATTTTAGTACTGCATTCATGCCACTGCCCCAGCTGCTGTAGAGGAGAGCAAGACTGAACATCTGTACGCGGTGTCCTCTAAGAACCTGGGAGTGAAATATTCTCCCAGAGCCAAGTTCAGCCAAATTTCGCGATATCAAAGATGTTGACCCACGAGGCAATGATTCAAATTACTCAACTACGTCGTTTTTTCGGTCCCAACGAGTTCGACTCCTACCTAAGTCTCATCAAGTCTACAAGTGCGACCTAGTACATCCTTATTCCGATGACCACACATCTCGTCGAATTTCTCTGGCCTCAGCTGGTCGCTAAATATACGCCCACGCCGATATTTACAACCCACGGAGGAAGCAAAGCGTGGCGCACAATTCTGGGGGACAGTTCTTTGGGATGGACGTGAGAGGGATCAGCACAAGTTCACAAGCTGATGCGAACGAAGGAAATAACTTTGAAGAGAGTGAAATTCCGAATTTCGGCGAGGGTTTTACGAATTGAGCTTTGTGCGTGCCAAGACTTCGCTCGCGAGATTGCAGTTGACACTATAAAAATAAGCAAACGATGGAAGGTGTTGTGGTCCGCCTCCTGGTGGTGTTCTCCGGTATAGTTTGAGTAGCCTGGGTACCTACTCCACTTGGGAAGGAGACATCTCAGACCATATTTCGCGCGGAGGAAAGTTGAAAGATGATGGAGGAATGTCTGTATAACTCAGGGTTTTTGAGATGTTCCCCTGAGTGGGTATTCACGGATGAGGGTTGACTTGGGGTGAAGAAAAAGCCGCCATAACTTCGCAGTGGTACTTGCAAATGAAATCCGAGGCATGAGTGCTCTTCCTTTACGTTGAATCATCTATTCTGTACTTTTCTTTGATATTGTGTCATAGCTAGATAGCTGCATACGCAACTAAAATCTGATGCACAAAAAAAAGCTGCAGTAGAATTAATAGCGCTTAGGCAGTAGCAAGCTAAATGTCCTAAAATTATAGATTTTAAACGATAAAAAGATACTCGCACTCCTTCCCCGATTGTGTTTTATGGCAAGGGGGAGGCACAAAAACTGTGACCCATACTTCTGTAACTGATGGACCTCGCTCTACAAAGAGTAACGCGAGATGTGGACGGGCCTTGGTGAGTTCGAGACACTGATGTGACCTCTCGACTGGAAAATGTGCCTGAAAGATCTCTGCTCTGCTTGGGAAACCCTACTGGACGCTGAGCCACTGCATAATGAGACCCATTGCTTCGGCTCATTCGCCAATAGTGTAGCCTAGCATCGATGCAATCGTTTTTAATTTTTATGCGTATGCAGCCTTTCCAGCTATGCAACTAGCAGTGCAATCTCACATCGGTCCGTCCCGCACGCACAACAATTATTTCAGATCATGCCTCGTGTTGCCCTAACGCACGTGCTTTAATCTAGCCAAGACCACATTTTTAAGTCAGCGTAATTCTAGCTACACCAATCCATCATCCCAATGACGACCTCGGCCACGGTACGGCCACTTGTTCACTCTAATTGTAAAGGTCGCCAGATTACAATATTCAAATTTCAGACGTAAATTCGCTCGCTTCATGATGATAGCCACTTGCCGTAAATTCGGCAATGGCAGTAAGTATGACTCATGAATGTTTCAACCTCCATAAATGTCTACATTTGATATAAATCTCGTACAGTGAGGAATTGCTTAATTTGAGTGGTTCGTTCCTCGGTCTATTCCTAGAAAGGAAAGTCAAAGGAATGCCGCTAGATGTACTCATTAGAGATGCCACCTGACAAGTCATTCTCTATCAGTTTATGGTTAAGTAACCTCGGCCTTACCTCCAATGCGTCTTTTGCTAAACAGATTACACGGTTTCGCCGCCGAAGGTACAAGATCAGGTAAATTAGCGTAGGATCGAAGATGCAAAATTCTAGGTCAGGGCTTCGTTCACAAAAGACGTTTAATCTTCTTTGGCTCCGCGGCCACCGATAAACGCGAGATTTGTCCACTGAATCATCTCTTCTCATACCTGAGAAACTATTTTACTCTGGCAGACTCTGCGCCCCAAACTTCTCACTATTCACCAACACCAATCGGCTAGATTCTCCGAGGAAAAGGAAAAAGTACACCCTAGAATGAGGCTTCTCACCCTAATTTGTATGGCTCCCCTCCACGCCACCTTTACCTTGGGAATTAAACCCGAAGTTTTCAAGGAAACCATGCAAGGATCTCTCGTGCCCCTATTAAACAAAAATTTCGGAATAAACTGTGATTCCCCAACAACATACAAGTCGAAAACTATCAGGATTTTGGCTAAGAAAGCAAGAAAGGACAGCCAGCAAGGACTTAGCCATACATTGCGATTTATACATCCCAAGTATCCCACGCTCTCTTTTTACGCCTATCCCTTCAAACATCATAGAATAACTGAAAATGGTTCGTTTGATAACAGTATTGATATCTGGGTAAAAGCTGCTAAAAATTAACTCTAGGTAAAAGTGTTACTGATTACCTCATTTATAATGATGACTGGTTTGCTGTGGATGGAGCGATTCGCACTATTGGCGACAATTATGATGTGTTTAAATTTTGTACATTCTTACCCGGTACTTCCTTTACTAATACTGATGGATCAGTAATTACGATTTCTCAGGATGAAGCTATCGCAGGCCCCGAGGCTAGGCCAATAAAACTTCCAATATCAAAAGAGGCACACCCAATGAATGAACCATCCCATGAGTTATGGGATTCTTTTAGAGGCTTGAAATATCCGATTATCAATGACGTTTTGAAATCCAACGGTCTCGATGATTAATGGATTAGCTCCCTGCGTTGAATTCAAATACTCTATAGTCTGTAGCGCATCGATATGAATCGAGTGGACTGTGAATTCCAATAGCTTGCATCACAGAGAATCGAGGCTGGCTTTATTTACAAAGAGCCATGTTAGGAGGGGAAATCGGCCGGTAATCAACCATCGATAAATCAGTCACACGCGATAGAACCGGGGCCAGCTGGAGACACTTATCAATATCTCATGATGAAAGGCTGTCATACTCAGGGTAAGGTATGGTAGACCTGGCAGTGTTTTTGTATCAAGTAATTACGGCAACGTGATATGACGATAGTCTTAAGGCTCTTATTTTACATCAGATTTTAATAGTGTGTACAGCTATCTATCTATGACACCATATTAGAGGTAAAGTACAGAGAAGATGAACCGACTTAATGGAGCACTCATGCCTTGGCTTTCAACAACAAGAACCATTGGAAAGTCGTGCCGGGGTTTTCATCACCAAGTCGACCCTCGTCCGTGAATACACGCCAACGGGGACTACTCAAAAATCTCGAGATATTCTGACATGGCTTCGTCACCCAATAACTTTTCTCCGCGCGAAATTTGATCTTCGATGTTTCCTGCCCAAATGGAGTGGGTGCCTAGGCAACTCAAACTTTACCAGAGACAACCACCAGGAGGCGGACCACGGCTCCTTCCATCGTTGGCTTGTTTTTACAGTGTCAGCTACACTCTCGCAGCCGAAGTCTTGGCGCACACAGCGCTCTTCAACATGTAAATCTCCTTCCAAGAATTCGAACCCTCACACCCGTCGAGATTGTGTTCTTCCCTTGAATCATCCCGTGAGCTTGTCCCGATTTCTCTCACGTTGATGCCAGGCACGACCTCCATGATTGTGTGCCGCGTGTTGTCTCCGCTGACGAGTATAAATATCGGCGTGGCGGTGTCTTTGGTGGCTAGATGAGGCCAGAGAGAGTCGACGAGAAGTATTGTCATTGAAATGAGGATGTACTTGTAAACTTGATGAAGCTTTGGAGAGTATCAATCTTGTTGGGACGAATAATCGATAGGGTAGGGAGTCTTGAACCTTTGTCTCGTGGGCCAGCTTCTATCGTCCTTCGAAACTTGAGTGAACTTGGCTCTGGCAGAATATTTGACTCCTAGATTCAAAGACAGCGAGGACAGGTTTCAAGTCTTTGCCCTCGGTCTACTGAGTCTATGACTGTAAGAGGACATGAAGATTACTAGCGAGGTTTCTGTTAGGAATGAATCAACGAACTGTTGTACTTAGGTTGTGAGTAGATATGGAATGATGAATAAGCTTGTGATAACAGAGAAGAGCAGAGGATGATAATCAGAGACTGAAGATATGAATAACTTAATACAATCGATGGTGCTACAGAGGTAGACAGGACTGATATATATACATGCTGTAAACCCATGATACAGTCCATAATCATACAACCAGAATGTTCCATAGCCACATTCCATTCTCCAACATGTTGTACTAGTAACACAAAGCTCTTGGTGTTGGTCGTAATAACGCTCGTACAGGGACCACATGGACCCTGCATACTGCACTAGTACATGGATATGCTATATCCCTGTAGATGGACAGGGATGGCCCATAGCGGCTCTGACAGTCATATCACAACATGAACTTGCTGACGTTTTATGATGAAAGATTCCAGATGTGGTTCAAGTACTTCGTCTATTATATGCCATATCGTGACCCGCACACGTGAGCGCACGGCGGCACCAACCCACAAGGTGCAGGTTAGAACTGCCCTTTTCTACCTGGCGCGCGAAGCTGTTCGATATTGAGTGAGGGGAGGGTTCTAGATTAGAGGGCCACGAGGGTATCCTCGCTACCATTTGATGCTCATCATTTAGCATGGCCTGAGTTGGAATGAAATAACAATTTTTATACTAATAAAGACTTTACAAAATTACTATACACATTTCCAGTCATATATACACCGTTCATAGTCCACGAGTGATCCAGCTCTGTAGAGCCAACACTAATGTCCTTTACTCGCATCCTTTACTTGTGTCCTAAACGGAGCGAGTGATCTATCTTCCCGCCTCTTGTTTAATATCCGAAGGCACTATCACGTGATCTTGATCTTCCAAAACACAACAACTCATGCAGACTTCCAACCCAGCTGGTGACCACTAACAGTCAGGTAAATATGTGACCCATACGTTATTTACCCCGTAATACTAATGTATGTATTCGGTCTCAACAGCCTGCTAGATCAGTATACTGCTTTGCTAGATGTTAGAATAGTTGGGGCTATCAAGTCGGCCACGTTGTTGATACACACGTGACTACAAACTCAGTACTTAGTTTCACATCGGCAGTTACTTGAATAAATGCACTCTCTAACTTCAATGGCTGACATCCGATGAGTTTCCGGAGCGTACCAAGCCCTCGATAGGGAGATGGCGGATTGAATCAAGTCGGCCTCGACTGTTACAAAGAAGGGAGATATAGATGAATATGCGCTCCTCATGTGGTCCTGGTGTCTAGGCCTCGCCTGGCTGGGCCTGCAGGTTTTCGGAGACTTTTTCCCGCGCACGCAGTGTCTGTTGCTACTTTTTTTTCTTCTTTTTTGATAAGAAGGTTCTGCGAAAAAGGTGGCTGAACTCCACGGGTGAACACTGAGCTGAATGGCTATTCATCATGGGCAATATATCAATTATCTTTCAAGAAACACGAGAGGCAAGGTGCACTGTACAAGGTGTGACCTGGGCCAGAGAAGAGCCCAATGTGCTAGATAGTCTAAGACTCAAGTAGTACAACTTACAGACACACACTTCAATGGCTGAGAGGTTGTCGTTTCCTTCATATACTTAACATTTAATTCGTACACAGATCCGGTCGATACCCGAGAAGAATCAGGCACTCAGTGGTCGGTACTGCGGTGAAATATTTTTCACAATACGGCATTCTCTCATACAATTCTGCAGGGGCATCCCGGCTATTCTACGAACCTCGGAGTGAAGTATTCTCCCTGAGCCAAGTTCAGCCAGATTTCGCATTACCGAATGAGTTGGCCCACGAGGCAATGATTCAAATTACTCTACCACGTCAATTTTTCACTCGCAACGAGTTGGATTCTCTCCAAAGCTTCAAGTTTACAAGTATAGCCCCGTTTCAGTGAGAATACTTCTCGTCGACTTTCTCTAGCCTCAGCCGGTCACCACGCCCACGCCGATATTTACAACGGACGGAGGAAGCAAAGCGTGGCGCGTAAATCTGGGAGACCGTTCTTTGGCATGGACGTGAGAGGGATCAGGACAGGTTGATAAGATGATGCAAAGAAAGGATATAACCTCGGTAGGCGTGAATTTGGAATTTCGGCAAGACTTTTACGAATTGAGCTTTGTGTGCGTCAAGGCTAAGCTTGCAAGAGTGCAGGCGACACTATCAACACTGCCATGGTTGGATGGTGCCGAGGTACATCGTCTTGGCCGGTCTGCCAAGTAGAGTCTGGATAGCTTGGATACATATTCCACTCGAGAAAGAAGATCGCTGCTTCAAATGCGGCAAAACACAACCACATTTCTCGCGGCGCTTGTATGCATGGAGGACGAAGACATGCTTGGATAACCAAAGGTTTTGAAATTCCCTTTGGTGGATACTTACGGAGGAGGGTCGAGTGTTTGTGTAAGCTAGCATACCTCTTTTTTAAATCATATTGTATTCAGCTATCTAGCTATGACAATCTAGCATGCCTCATAGTGGTATTTGTATATGAAATCCAGAGTATGAGCGTCTCAATTGACAAAAGAAAAGGATAAAAATTTGGCATTAAATAACATGGATGGAATAGACGCAGGTCTCAGTCGGGCTGATGCTCGTATATCCAGATACGCACGCATGGCATCAACCACCACCCACAGAACTGCCGTAAATGCAGCAGCCAGCCCGGCTCATGTGCAGCACTCATTGGTCGCTAGTACACACCTTTATACCGGGCCGGACCGGATCGGACCGCGTGCAGCATTACACGGGGCTCTTTAGGTAGAGCGGCTCTCGCACTTGTTCGTCTTCATGCCTGCTTACCCCCTCTCTCCTACAGGTCGACGCCCCAATATCTGACTCGGACCTCCGATCCCATCAAGACGAACTAACTCGCGCACACTACGACAAGTCAAGCGGAAGGAAGTTTAGCTATATTCCAGGCCACTGTTTCGGTCCTAAGGAATATCTAGTGCTTGCGCTGAGACATCGAAGAGATTCGATACAAACAATTATCATAGGATAATGTCGAGTCAGGTCGTGACTAGTCGCATGTCTCGCGAATATAAAACTGTCAAGGGAAGAAACGCGTAGAGGACGTCTAGTCATGCGAACACTGTAATTAGGGAGATATATGTAACTTTCTAGTGTCATGCGCAGTTTGATCTAAACCTGGATGTGGAAACTAGAGCTAGTAGAAATTTGGTTGAATGACTAAGGAACGGTTATAGCAATGGTTATATATGGACATGATCTGGATGATTGGAGAAATAAGGCATCACACGGAGAATATATCACAACCAGCTTTACTCGATCATCTTCTAGATAATTTGTACCTTATTCTGTATGACAATTCAAATCTATTTACCTCTAGAACTCATATCTTTTACACGACTTAGAAAACAATTGTCAACTTCGTCATCATACGATACATAACTGAGTCAAACACGAACGGTTTACTCTATCTAGTCGTCCAACATTGTCCACTGCTTCCGTCTCCCCCCCAGTGAACCCCTCATAATCATTCCAACTTGTAGTCAGAGCTGAATCAAAGAATGTACTGTGAACCAAGCAATAGACATATCAGATCTACGTTAAGAGGAATACACATGACTGCGATACTCAAAATTTTTGAAGATCTCAATTCTGAGCGAGCACATTTTGATGAATAATCGCCTCATAGGTAGCGTAAATATCTAAAATAGTATTTTACAAGTCTCAAGAATGAGACGGGTAATTGCATATTTTTTCTGTGATTACCATCAAAACCGCCGTTTTACAACCCGCCAGCCGTCAGAATATATCTAGTTCAAAGTAGCAACTTTTTATTATCCACATATTTCATATTGTGATATTAGATATCCCCTATGCACATCATTGCCTAGTAATTGAGGACATTAGCAATTAAACCTCCAGGCTCGTAGTGCCAACCCTACTCCTGAAAAAACAACTCCTATCAGTCGCTACTTCTTTTTCATACCAAGTGAATTTTGTATACGACTTGTTCATCTAACACTAAAAATGACACGGCCCTGATGTCATAGGAAAGTTACCGAGCATGACTGCTTCATCACTGAGGCCAATTGTGTATGGTGTCCGATTTTTACCACTACCTTATCTTATTAACTGTTCCCCTGGGGTTACAGCTTCTCTGTGTTTTTAGTTAGGCATAGTTTTGTCTCTGTAACTCCGAATTCGGCTAATATGACAGACACAACGATGTAGTTTGATTTCGACCTAATTCCACGTATTATGCCTTAGATAGGGCGGCTTATATCGAAATTATTGACAGGAAGAATGTATGATTACCCTATCCTTGCATTAAATTTTGGTAACATCATGAGTATTATCACCGAGATGGAGTATTTTTCCGAAAGTAACCTCGCCTTCTTAAACGCTCCGAAATTGCTCTGATTCTTTGGGTTCCACGCACAGATTGGCGGTTCTTTATATAATCAGCTTTCTTTAACCGTTGATTGCTCATCTTGACTTTGGTATTTAAGTGACCAGAAACACAATTGGCGTCTCCCCAAGCTGCAGAGGCAGCCTTGTTCCAGAGATTCTGAACATCCATAATCATACTGGGCTCATAGAATAATCTGCAATTCGCTTCCTCATATAAAAATTGTGCTGGGATTCCGTCCTCTAGATTTTCTCTCAAGATAATATCTTTAATATTGACGGCACTATCTATACTACGGCTTATTGGTAGATCCGTGAGGGCTGATAGCGATTTCCACATCGCAACCTGCGTTGGGGTTCCAGTTTTTTGAGCAAGTTGTGCTACACTGTATATCGAAGCAAAATCATAGCTATTAGCTCCCTTTGTACCACCAATTCCCTGAATAGGTGCTTTAGTTGGTCTACCGCCAAATGCGATCGATCTTACTCCAGCTTGAGTGCGCATGAATTCGCTAAATATAACGCAAGTAGATGCACAGGCGCCATCGTATACCAACACAATGTTTGAAGCATCAAATGGCTGAGTAAAGTTTTTGCGATCTCCGTATCCAGTAACATTCGTTCCGACTCCCCAAATTGGGCTGACTAGCGTTGGATCATCGACCTCCCATCGCATTATGTTGGTAAAGTTATCATTGCTAAGTTGGATAGGTCCAAATTTATCTTCGTGGCTTGAGAAATGAGAACCATTCACATTCAGATCAAATCGATAATTCAAAGGAGTTTGATAGTATGTATAGTCTGAGGCTTCCTTGCTTCCGAATGAGAAATTAGATGCGCGATCTGACACTTGCTTACTAATAATTTGCAAAGCATCGTGCGAACGGATACGTGTAAATCCATCTTGCTCAATCTGCGGAAATAACTGACGAAATGTATCATAGCCACAGAGCAGATTGCCGCCACCATTTGAAGAAAGATCGATTATCAACTTTGTCTTACCGGCAAGCTTAGATTTTAAGATCATCTTCTGAATGATTGATTGGAACTCTATCACAGATGCAGTTTGAAAAGAAAGAATACTGAGTACAGCCACGTCCTGTAAGGCTGTATCATTCAGAAAATATCCAGAAACGACTTGGTCTGATGAAATGTATTCGGGTTTGGGATATCCAAATGCTGGTTTTTTACTTTCAGGTTTGTAAATAGTTCTCGTAGCCGGTTTAGTGCTATTTTTTATATTAGTGGATGCGGTAAAATCTAATGATGGGGCCGGGTTTTCCGGGGTTCCTGTGCAAAATATTTTGTACATAGAGGCCCCATCGGTAACATTCTCAAAATTGCCTTTAACAGTGGCATAGTTTTGGTAAGTTTTTTCGGTACCATTTTCAAACCGGAAGGTAGTAAGAGGACCTGGATATGTATAAGAAAGATAACCGGTAAGTGTGAAGAATCCATTATAATTCGATTTAGGATAGTGTGCGTCCCCGGCTTTCCCATACATCATCATATTGTACTGAGCATCTGCATCATGCAGATTGGTCTGCATCATCAGCGAGTTCAAGAAGTCACTAGTGTTCTGTCCATTGATATGTGAAACTGGAAATGGCGTAAAAGAGCTATTATTATTGACAAACTTTGCAATGTCCGCTACATGGATTTAGTTTTTAATTCTCTCAAATCTATTCAAATACTCACTACTGACGTATACTTTAGGAGTCTCAACTCCATCAATGCTGACGCTTACAATACTCACTTTTCGTCGAAACTGAAATGTCTTACCCATAAGATCTGGTATAAATCTGAAGTGTCCGTCGTGTACGGATTGAAATAAGAGAAAAAGATCCATTTGAAATTGGTACTCATTACTGTATGCTCCACTTTCTATAGCGACCAAAATTCGATTCAATTCAGCGATTACATCAACTGCTGGCATTTGATAGCCTGGCGGTGGGGCTTTGAGGTACGAAAGATCTGACTGCCATTCGATATAAGGAAAGAGCGAGTTTATTAAAGCCGTAGCATCTTGTGGATTTAGAGGAACGGAGGATAGGCACTCATAAGCAAGCTGCGCGGTAACTGTTGGCCGATCTGTGAGACCAATCAGTACATCAAGAGTTAAGACTGAAGTAATAATATAGCACTCTTTTCTTACCTTTGGGTGCTGTCTGTAGAGCTGTGACTGCACTAGCCCTTACTTGCGCACACGGTGATGCTGTATCGTCATTGGCTCGTTGATCACCACCGATGGGATTTGGCGGTCTACATTCAGCTCGGAAAAGCAGTAACAGTAACGGAGCAAAGGTCGTGAGCTTCATTTTAGTGGCACTCTCGAGTCATTTCTCTCACAGCGTGGAGTCTAAATTAGAAGAAAGGGCAAAAGACTACTCATCGTCTCGGCCGACGGTGTTATCCCCCTTGCCTTATATGTCTGTATTGCTCAAACACAGATAAATTGCTCTGGAGGCGATGCCGGGACTGCGTTATTGGCCCTTAGCCTGGATAAGTCATAACATAGGCTCAGCTCTCTGCTTGTATTTTTTCACTCGTAGCAGCGTCTGTGCAGTGTTTTGGTTATATCCTGGTCTTGGAGGTTTAAAATTTTATTTGCGATATTCCCAAACAAAAGTGTGTCTTAGATTTTTCGAAAGACCGCGTGTAGCTACCGACGGTACTCTAAACCTTGCTCTTCCATATCTTGCCAAGTTCTCCACCTTCAAAAGTTGCCGAAAATTGACACATGTTATCCAAAAATAATACAATATATTTGCAAAGGGCCTAGGCCTCCGCAGTGAGTCAGGCCGCATGAATGGGCCAAATTCGAAGATACAAATAGCGAGGTTTCAGTTCGACAGTCGCATCCCAGTTCTGCGAGACACTTGTTATTCTCAGATTGCTGTTCGGGGCTCAGGTTTAACGTTCGAAATTTGGAGACAAACTCACAATCGGGTAGTGAGGGGTGTGGGACCCCCAGAGTTGATGCACGGGCGGCCAACACACTGGCAGATGTGGCAGGGGTGTTTGACAGGTGACAGATTTTATTCGGTTATTTGCTAATGTGGATCTAGAAATGCGCAGAAGGGCCTATCAATAAGCACACGATTCACAAAAGACTACCATTTTCGGGATTCCAGGCTAGATTGTATTTTGAGGCGTTCAGTGGAGCGCTCTTTAGATGCCAGTCCCAATATTTGGCTGTGCCGAATCTGAAGCAGTCGTTTTCGCTTTTTGAATATAGCCTTTTTACGGCCTCGGGTCAGCGTGACGACACTCGAGTCTGTGGGATGTTTCTGCACGGAAAAGCTATGAAAAAACTTAACCATCCAAACTTCATACGAGTCAGCTTATAGTTAATCGCAAAACACTTTATCTGTTTCACTTGCAGAAACGCTACACACTGCACCTGAAACTGCCAGTTGACATCCTCACTATCGACCTCAGCCCAGAAAATGTATGTTCACACATTGCGCGAAAAATATCCAAGCCAGATCTGAAGCTGAAGCTTATCATTGATAATCAGAGCGTAAGAGTATTTTTTTAAGGGCAACTTCTGCATGCCAATTATTTCGGCACGCATGAGGGTCTGAAACTCAAAAGGCCAGTTCCCTCTAGCTAGAGTACGAAGAACTCAATCTAAGCCTTTATGTCAGGACACTTCTATTATTTTATGAATTGATTCATAGTCTCGGATGTCAAATGTATCATAGAAACTTACCCAAATCCAAGCTACACGAAGTAGGGATATGGGATTGTAAGCCTTAGAGCAGCCAAGACCATGATATCTTCTCGAGGCTGGAGCTAGTTCTGGGATAACATAGGCCCTATTGAGTGCTCCATTCGAAAAGCGAAAATTCAAACCTTTTTAATTCAGATAAATGATCGAAGCAGGGGGGTTTAAGGGCTAATATCTATTTGTGATACCTTCTACGAACCTCAAGCCCTCAATGTACGGCACGCAAAGCTGAGACTTGATCCAACACTTGCCAGGAAGCCTTTTAAGTTAAATGATTCCAAGCAAGTTTTGTCTGTTTAAATAATACAAAGAAGTTTGGCTATACTATATTAGAGCACACAATCTCAGTGTAGACTTTGTTCACACTTCAGCAATATCTCCAGTTCGTACTGGGGCGCGAATAATGGTAATATTTGAGAAAGTAGCTAGTAAGGTGGAACTTGATTTTATCATGCACACACAAGTCTACAAATCCTGGCTAGATCTCACTCAATGCTTCAGGAGGATGGCTGTGTCTTCGGACTTAGTCCCAATGTCAGTACTAGGGGAGCTCCATTTCCATATGGTTTTTCTAGCTACCGTGAGCCTGCCAACTTCCCCGGTTTTGTTTATCAGAGAGAGGAGATTATGAAAGGCAAAAGGCACCCATAACCATATAATTGGGGGAAGAATTTACGAACTAGTAATATTGAAAGGGAGCTGTATAGGAAGCAAATGAGAACTTAATTTTCTCCAAACATGGGAATCACCGGGCTCTAGTTATAAAATTTCCGCACATCCTACATATCCGTATCCTGAGAAATAACAGTAATTACAGCGAGAAATAACTCAGTAATGTTGCGTGATTTCTCAGGAAACTGTAGCGGTTCCTATTATAGCACCGATTATGGAGCCTAGAGTGGAGACGGCCAATAAGAATACGGGCAAGGCTCTTGTAGCCATTGAGGTCAATTGTAGGATGGGCTTTTGGATCTGAGTATTATCATGCAAGATTGAAGGACACGAAAATTAAATGGGTAGAGCAATGATCTGAAAACACTCTTACGAATACTTTGGGCAATAAGGAGTCGAGAAGGTGGCCTAGCTAAATCTCTGGCTACCCGTAGTGATTAGGTCTGATGATCTACTCTATTTCTCGTGCTCATTGTGCACTGGGCTTAGGCTCGTTCTTCTCAAGGCCAGCTCGAGCCAACCCAAGGTTAAAAGCGATGATGTCAAAATTTTAGCGCCTCTTTGGTCTAGTTATTTACAACAACTCAACAAAAGCGGTGCCCTGATTTTTCCTCACCTCATCTGGGATCGGAAGACTTGACCAATCTACTGAATTTATGATTGATGGGCTGGGCCTGAAAATTGCAAGTCCAGACAAAACAGGAGTTTTTTTTCTCTGCAAATATGCTTTCGCTTTATGGGTTTTACGTGACCACCTAGCCGGGCATGGGGAGTATCTCTTATGAACAGCATTCTTATCACGAGCTATCTAAGCACTATCTAAGCGCCATCGAGGCCTCAGGGGGGCTGTGCAGACTGGTATCTGCCACCTGCTCAAATCATGGATCCTTAGAAATGCCATGATTAGTTATCTGAAATGCAAATATATGCATTTCAGACTGGCAATACGGAAGGCAGCGCTACCAAACCGTAACACCTTATTTCCCTTTTTTCGATAGTAGACTATAATTGCCACTGTTGAAGCTTTTGGAATAAACGTTCAAGTTCACTTTACATTGAATATCCTGAGGTAGACACTCTACGACAGTGGAGGGCTAGTAATGATCATGTCAAAATTCAAGTGTATATAGTTAGGATGAAGACACTTGTTTATCACGGAGGAAAAGGAGTAGGAGTAATCCTAAGTCCCTTCCTCAATACTTTTTCGAAAAAAGTCGGTTTAAATTCACACCAGGCTTGCTCCTAACCTGTTGTACAATTCGCATCACTGCAAAATATCATGCTTCCTCAACCTGTCCGGTGGGAGGCACAGAGCAGATACCCGAGCTGATAGCGTCAAGCTCAGATACAATGAATTATTTCCAAGAATAAGACTCATATCTTTTACCTTTGGCAGCAGGTTACAAAATCATAAGATATTTTGTCTCATACTGATATAGCCCCAGAATTTGAAGGATCGCTAGTATTGGAGAGGTTATTTGATGCGATTTTGCGTCGTTCACCTTTGCTTTGCCAAGAGTGTTTAGCTTGGGCTAAAACTTCGGAAAGCTAAAGTAATGAAATCTTAATTAGCCTCTCTCGTAGATAGTTTGCATTTCCGAAGCAGCCTAAAAGTTACAACCAACCCCGGCTCGGTGGGTTATGATAGAAACTCGCATTCTCCAAAGTATAAGATTCCGACAGGTTTCATGATACGATTACTTGTAGGAAGACGTAAAGGATCATTGTAATCGTTGAAGTCCGCGCAAACGAAAGCTCTGGAAAAAAATCGAAATGCTAGAGTTTCTGGCTGTCAGGGAGTCCAAGGGTCAGTATCACTCTCTAACAGGGACGGACTTGCGAGAATCTGTAAATTTTTAGCTTCCTCAAAGGTTACTAGGTATGAACGAAGCTTTTTTGCATGAGATAAACAAATTAGAGCCTGTGTAAATATATTATTGAGGTCATGCTTCTGGCATACTACATGTTAAGTTGGAGGAAAGTCTTGGTGTAAAATATTTCATTTCTGCAGAGTTGTTCCAGTCTCAACGGTTGAGCTGTGATCTATTGTCCTAATTAGATAATCCGATACATTTTTAGTCGTGTAGAACCTGCCAATGTAACTATTCAGGATAGTTAATGCGTTGCTCTCACACTTACTATCCAGGCTGAGCAACTGGAATGAGTTAGATGCGCTTAGTTAGGTGTGAATTTGATGCATTGTATGAAACTAATGGTGGTCAAGCATTATATCCGAGGATCGACATAGCACCAGGGTAGATCAGTGAACCTATTGTGCAATTCGTCATAGATACCCCTCCAGACCCCCGGATACGCCATAAGTAGGTTCAATTTTGACCTTCAGCAAGGTGTTCACATCGGAACAAGGGGCCGAGTCATTCGAGATTTCTTCGGCACGATAGAAAAGTGTTTTGATTATAACCTAGCTGTGTTACGTTGTTGGTCACTCTTCTAACGGTCCATGGGGTTACGGCTAAGGCTGTGGCTAATTTCCGTATCGGCGTCTGGCGCTCCGGTTGGTCCCTGAGCGTGCTGCATATTAGGCAGGTACATGGCACGGTAATGCACGTATGAAGCTGTCAATAGTTGCAACAAACACATAAATATCCGTGCTTATTTTCAAAAACTACGTCTCCAGTCCCTAAACGACATTACGAATGACGCTTTGCAGGCTAGATATAATATGACATTCGGATATAGAAATAGTGAGATTCATTTGTAGACTATCAGAGGCATTCAAGCCTTCTGATTGTTGAACCAAGTCTTCTACTGGATATCATCAGAATTATTTCCCTCATATGTCGACATAAATGTAAACACTACATCGACGTGTTTACAGCTAATATTTTTATCGCGCTCTAGAAAAGAGAGAATATTAGAAAATGTTGGAAATTCTGACTCTCGAATTTAGGA